GTTATAAATACAAAATTTATATGTAATGTTATTAAAAACTTTATTTTACGTTTGAGAGAAAAAATATTAAACTAAATTTAAAAGAAAAAATATAAAATACATTGATCATATAAAATAATTTTAGTATGTTATTTAATAAAAAATTATTATTTATAATAAATTATTAACTTTTTATAATAAATAAATAAATAACAAATCACATATGATTTATGATTGTATTTTATTTTTGTTTAATCTATATATCTATGTATCTATTTATATGTATATATAAGATTATTAGAGTTAGTCTAATAGTTGAGTTAGTTGAAAGTATAAAGATCGATGAAATTTTTATAATTTAATTATCTTAAAAAAAAAGTGTGCGAATGAAAATTAAATTGAATTTAAAAAAGGTATTTTGTTGTTTAATTAATGTGTGTGCTTTGTTACTTTACGTAACAATACAAATTTGAAGGTGGGAAGAGTGTAGAGTGTTTGTTAATTTGTTTACTCGTGCACAACTTTCTTTTTATATATCTTTTTGTCGCGGGTAATCCGTACCCGACCCGTTTTGTGAATCGGGTTTCAGATGCATAGATGAAAAGGAGAAAAAGCGAGTGAAGTAATAAGTAATAAGTTGAAACCAGAAACATTAGCAAGTTGTGCATCAATGGCGGATCTGAAGCATGATGGGTTTTTGACCTACGCTTACATTCTTCTCTACATTGCTCTTTCCAGTGGCCAAATCTTCTTCAACAAGGTTATCGTCAATCACTTCAAGCTCTTTTGCATTCTCTTTTTTTTTTTATTTTTTTATTTTTAAAATTTTAATTTTAATTTTTTTTTACCGGTAAAATGCATTGTCAGGATTCTATGTTGTGATTGCTTGGTTTGGTTCTTGTTTTGATTTTATTTATTATCTTTTATTCTGAAAGGTGTTTTGCGTGCTCGGAGGTTAGGTTAAATTCGCGGCGTGTGTTGTCGATTGGATTTGGATGTGCTGATGAGTGATTTGGCAGTTGTGATTGTGAGTGGTAGTTGACCATTTTGTTCAATTGTATTGGAAGCGTTTTAATTTGGCTGTTTACGGAGTGGAGTAGGTTCAGTGTAAGAGAATTGCAGCAATTGAGCACTTTTTTATGCATTTTTCTTTTTGGAATTTTTAGTGGCGTGTGAAATGGTGGTAGTAAACTGGTACTGACCTAATGCCGCAAGGGATACTGACATGTTTATGACACCTCTTCATGGTGTCAAAATTAAAGAAAAAAAATTGGTTCAGGCACCTCTAAACACCTTTCCGATGTGACTTGAGTATGAGTCAAGAGTGAGTCGGCATATGCTCTTAACTAAACACTTATCTAGCGCTTCTATTATTAAAAAAAAATAGGGCAACTTAGTTATAATTATTGCAATGCTCATGATATCTTGTTTTTATCTTTTGTGAGATTCATTTTCATAGGAATTACTAGTTATTTTAACTTTTGAGAGATATAGTTCATCTTCTAAGGGTCATTATGATATCAAAATTGTAAAGCCTGTATATATATAAAAATTCTAAGGGTCTTTAATGGTTTGGCTGTCTTTTTGGAGTGGTTCTTGAATCTTGAAAGTATTACTGTCTCCTGTTTTATCATAGATTTATGCTTAATTTGTGAGTGGTTTAATTTGAGGAGTGATTCAAGGAGAAAAGGCATAAAAACTGTGTTGTTTTGTGGCTGATGCATATTTTTGTCTTTTCAATTTATTATCTGCAGTGGGTTTTGTCCTCTAAGGAAATTAACTTCCCTTATCCTTTGGGGTTGACACTACTTCACATGGTCTTCTCCTCTGTTCTGTGTTTTGTGTTAACCAAGATTCTGAAGGTACGACTTTGTGATTGGTGTTATTTAATCAGTTACTGTTATGCAATGCAGGTTAATGATCTGTTTCTTACAGGTTATGAAGGTTGAGGAGGGAATGACTCCTGAAATGTGAGTAAATAAAGAATCTTTCTGTAGTTAATTGTTGATTTACAATAAGGTTTTATATATGGAACAATTTTGACTGTCATACTTCCTCTGGCTGTTGGTGACTCATGATATGTTAGAATTGGAATCTTAAGACATTTGCTGATTGAGAATAATATTAGCCAAAAATTTCAACTTATGGTTGCATGCTTGTTATCTTTGATCAATTATCCACAATAGATATGGAATATAGGAAGAAGTGAAATCATTGAAGATATAACCTTTTAAGAGGTATGGCATGATTGATCTGTACAAAATACACAAATAATATCTGGTGCATGGTGGTTAGAATATCATGATTTTTCATTCATATCACATGATTCGATTCAATATGATTTGGCAAGCTAGTGGTTGGTATCACGTAATGAATTGCAATTTGCAAATGACTTTGAGATACATGCATGAACTAGTGTGATTCTGATAGGGACTTGGGTGCTGGGGAGTGCCTAAGTCCCACATCGAGTAGTATGGGATGTTCAGTACAGTATTTAAGTGTTTAGCTCTTCCCCCTTAACAATTAGCTTTTAAGGGAGGGTTCCTCAAGTGCTTTGGTGCTTATTAATTGGTATCATGGCCAGTTGCTGGTGACTCGAAAATGGCTACTAATGGGAAGGGCTGACCAGATTCCAGAGAAGGGCTGAGTGAAGCATTATACACCATCCGGTCCATTATATAAGAAGCAAATAATTAATTTATCAAAACCAATAAAAGTAGTTAAAGATGTTAATTTTCATTAATAATGTGATTAAATTAATTTTTTTTCCTTAAACACTCTTTGAATTGAATGGTTTTAATAGTGATTACATTTAATAACACTACACCTAATTCAAAAATTAGCAATTAATGTATCTTAAAGTTGGTCTTTGTTCTTATAATTAGGACCAAAAAAGAGTACCCATTTATAACTTGTATTGTTAATAGATCAATAAATGCATCTACATATATGAGGGTATAAAAGAAAATTAGCAATTGATACATCTTAAAGTAGGTTTTTGTTTCTTATAATCAAGACCAAAAAAGTGTACCAATTTGTTTCATGTATAAAGAATCAGAGGGAGTAAAGTGTTGGTTGCCAGAGTGTTGGCTGTTAGGGGCGGTGTTATAATAGAGGCTTGAGTATTATGGGGGTGCCTTAGTCTCGCATCAAGTAATATCGGATGCTCGGTGCAGTATTTTAAGTGTTTGCTTCTTCCCTCTTAACTACTAGCTTTTAAAGGAGGGTTCCCCAAGTGCTTCAATGCTTATCAGATTTTGTACGACTGAATGATACGATTCACATTATTCAGTGAAATGCTGATTTATTGTTTTTTTGCTTTTCTTTCACCAATTGTCATCAAAGAAATTAAAGAGTTAGATAAGTTTAAATTGTCAAATCAAAAGGAACTGAAGGAGCTACATACTATGAGGCATAGATACTTAGTACGACATGGATACAGGAATACGATTTTTTCTTTATTGAAATTAAGTATATGAAACGTTATAGATACATTAAGAAAATAGAAAATTTTATATAAATATAAAATATTGGTAAAAAAGAGAGAGAAATGTGTCTTTGTAGAATATGTATATTAACTTTTAAAAGGTTTTTTTCGTTTAAAAATTTAAAAACTAAAAATAAATTTTTTTAAATATTAATAAAACGAACATTTGGGTAAAAAAAACATATCCAAGCCGTATCACATGTTATAAAGCCATATCCAACCATTGTAAGCCGTATCCAATAATTTAAAAAAAAATAATAATAATTTGATACTCCTTCGATATGTATCCTGACATATCCTAGCCGTATTGGTGTCTGATATGAGTATGACACCAATACTTTTCCATTTTTGGAGTATCCGGGCTTCTTAGGCTACATAGCACATCTGATTTGATTATTCCATTGCTCTGTTTTTATTCTTTGGAAATAGGGGCTTCTCACACAGTCACACTAAATCATTCTATACACATTATTTGGCTATATCTTTGTTTTAGAAGTTCAGCTGCCACGTTTTGATTTGAAAACTAACACTAGTGCTAATCATGTTGCAAAGTGACTGGCTCCAGAAATTTCTGCATAGTTGATTAGGTTCTTTGGATTTAATTGATATTTCTGTTGTCTTTTACATGCTTTAGTTTTGTAAGAATGGACTGGGCTGGTTGAATACTTGTGCCTATCAGCTTCTGCATAACGTCTTGTATGTGTGTCTGTGTTATACCTGTGAATGTGCATATGTACAAACGCATATCTTAAGATTATTAACTTCAAGTCTATGTACCTTTATAGTTGGTTGCATCAAATACATAAAATGTCTCCAAATTCCAGTTGTGTAATCATACCTTTATTGTTTCAGATATGCTACTTCGGTAGTTCCAATTGGGGCCATGTTTGCAATGACTCTTTGGCTGGGAAATACTGCCTACCTGTATATTTCTGTTGCTTTTGCACAAATGCTCAAGGCAATTAGTAAGTTTTAGTGAACTTGTTGGTTATTGACAATAGTTAGGTATCTTTGGCCATTTATATGATATCAACCAATGGAAAGTATAATTGCTAAATTTGTTTCTTGAGACATTTAAAATCATCAGATCTACTGTTTAAGCAACTTGCCTTAGTTGTACAATATATACTATAGTGATTATATGTTTTCACATTACTTTTTTTTCAATATGGCAACTAATTGCATAGTTGCTTTGGTTCTTCCATTATCACAGTGCCTGTAGCTGTTTTTGTGCTTGGAGTAGCTGTAGGACTTGAGGTAATGAGCTGCAAAATGCTTTTAATCATGTCGGTGATTAGTTTTGGTGTTCTAGTAGCTTCTTATGGAGAGATAAATATAAACTGGATTGGGGTAGTTTACCAAATGGGAGGTGTTGTTGGTGAAGCTCTAAGACTTATCTTCATGGAGATTTTTGTTAAGAGGAAAGGTCTAAAGTTGAACCCTATATCCGTGATGTATTATGTTAGTCCCTGCAGGCAAGTGTTTCTTTTCATAGTGTGACTTACTGTTACATAAATGTTTGAATAAATCCTGTGTGCTGTGAATTAGTTCTTATGAAAATAATTTTGGATTCTTCTGCAGTGCAATTTGTTTATTTCTTCCATGGATATTTCTGGAGAAATCAAAGATGGATGAACATGGACCATGGAACTTCCCACCTGTTTTGCTTATCCTCAACTGCCTTTGTACTTTTGCTCTTAACTTGTCAGTTTTCCTTGTGATTACACATACAAGTGCTTTAACCATTCGTGTTGCTGGAGTTGTCAAGGATTGGGTGGTTGTCTTACTGTCTGCTCTTCTGTTTGCTGATACAAAGTTAACAATTATCAATTTGTTTGGCTATGCAATTGGTAAGTATCTGGTTCTGTTTGGCCTTCTAAATTTTCCTTTCTCATAAGATATAGCCTTAGTATTTTTTCATGACATTTCCTGCAAATGCCAGAGCACTTCTACATATTCCACCGTCCAGGAAAATTGATAGCCCAGTATTGGGTCCTGGAAGCCAATGTGCCATTAGCGATACAAGTTTTAAAAACTCAAACAAAGATAGTCCTTCATTTTGGAAATTAATGTGAGCAAATTTAAGATCAATTAATTGTTAGGTTTCTAATATTGTTGGAGATTAACTAGTAGTATGTTATTGATGGGACAGAACTAAAGGGAGATTGTAGTAATGGAAATTGAGTATACAAAACACAAGTAGTGTAAAAGCAGAAGCTCCCTGGCAAATGGATTCCCAGGCCCAAAGCTATAAGCCGCGCCCCCCCCCCCCA